CCCCCTTAACACAGCAAAGTAGATTATAAATTTGTCAAACATAGATGCACCTACCACATCTACCTATGAGATTGCCTAATGTAACAACAAAAATAACAATAATAATTGCTAAATATTTTTAATATTTATTTTATTCTAGGCACTATGCTAATGCTTAATATACATTATATCAGTCAATTCTTAACAATAATTCTTTGAAATAGATGCCATTATTATAATTCCAAATTTGAAAGCTGAATAACAACAATGAAAGAGCCAGCCTCACACCAGGTAGAGCTCGCTAAGTCACTCACCTTGTTGATGCACGTAATGTCTGTAGTGTGTTTAACAAGTTTGCAGTTCCATGGAACAAAGTCAATGGAAAGTATAAAAAGTTAAGAGCCAATTGTGACATCCACACCTTTAGCAAATATAGTAGAGTCAATGAAGCAGACAGCTAGAGTAATGTGATTAGATTCCCAGTACAAAAAAAATAAAATTATAGGGAGGATCACTAAACAATCTAAATCCAGAGAGAAGAATAGTTTGCTAAAACTTCATAAAGGCTATCTCTAGGTCAATGTTCCTAACTAGAGAAACTCATTTAAAGCTGCATAGAGATTGTGTTAGAGATGCAATTTCCCCAGCCCATCCTACAAAGATTCCACTTCAGCAAGTCTGGGTATAGACTTGATTTTCCCATGGCAATGCCTAGTTAGAAACACCAATCTAAAAGGAGAATTCTGTTAGTAAAAGAAATGTCCCAATGACAGTGAAAAATGTGTTGTTAGAAAACGAGAACTCCTCTTCCTTCAGATACACAAAAGATAAGCATCACTTTCATAGGTGAATAGGGTCACTATTATAGGGAGATATTTGATCCAAAATAATAAACATCCATTAATCTAATTTGACTTGTTTACATTATCATCTCTGCCTCACACTAAAGATAACTTTTAAGCATATCCTTTGAACAAAGTAATGATCTGAAAACCCCAAAAAGCAATGGAACATTGAAAAAATTTGGAGAAATTTATTAATTCTTTTGACGTATTCAACAAATATTTATTGAGTACTTTATTTGTTAGCACTGAAGTAAGTAAAGAAGCAATAAATATAGCACCGTGTAAATGGGCATTCAGATAAATTATCAGGCATTCAAAATGTCCAAGATACTGTTATAATACGGGTAAAAGCAGGATGCTGTGGAGAGACATGGAGAATCCTTAACATATTTTTTCTTGACCGTCCAAGGAAAATTAAAGAATGGTAACAGGTAAAATTGGATGTGTGAAGGGATTTTGCACCATGTTATGAAGTTTGGATTTTATTCTGAGAGCACTGGGGAGACTTAGAAGAATTTATGGGAAAATAGTGATAAAATCAGGGTGCATTTTAGATAGATCCATGGGGCTGTAGGATCAGAGAAAGATGGTAAGATAGGAGAGACATCAGCATCACCAATTAGGAGATGGGAAACAACAGTGACTTGACTCTGATAGTGGCAAAGGACATTGAGAAGTAAATGGGATTCAAAGGCTATAGGATTGATTGCATGTGGTAGGAGAAAGATCAGGAAGGTATCCAGGCTTCTGGTGTAGACAACTGTGAGTGGATGACTAGTTGTGCCACACACTGTGATAGAAACAATAAGAAGAACAATGAGTTTGCAAAAGAGACAATTCCACGTTTCCTTTAGAACATGTTGGACTTGAGATATATACATCCATATACAGTAAATAATTGGATAAATTTTTCTACTTCTCAAAAAGTAGTGCATAAAATAAAGACTTAGAAGTCATTACTATATAGGTGAATTATATTCCTTCACAGTGAAGGAGAACACTCATAGAGAATAAAAAATGGCCTAGAACAGAATCTGGAAGCTGAATCATTTAAAGAATCAAAAAAAAAAGGGGTGTTT